TCATTTGATGTTCTAGGGTTTCAGGATTGTTGATTCTCTGTTTGGCTTAGTTTTTCGGATCTTTGTTGTGGAGGGACGGCGTGGTGTTTCTGCCTAGAGCGCCATCTTGCCGGAAGTCCTCCACTCTTTTTATTTTGTATAGGTCTAGACAAATATTCTATTTCTTCCTGAGTAAGTTTTGGTAGTTTTGGTCTTTCTAGGAATGTGTCCATTTCATCTACGTTGTCTAATTTGTTGTCACATAATTGTTCATAGTATTCTTTAATAATTCTTTTAATTTTTGTAGAGTCAGTAGTGATGTATCTACCCTCATTTCTGATCTGGGTGATTGTGTCTTCTCTCATATTTTTTTCATCAGTCTAGCTTAACATTTGTCATTTTTTTTTTTTTTTTTATCTTTTCAAAGAATCAATATTTGGTTTCACTGATTTTTCACTTGTTTTTCTGTTTTTATTTCATTAATGTATGCTTCAATCTTCATTATTTCCATCCTTTTGCTCATTTTTGTTTAAGTCTTCTCCACCTTTTTGTAGTTTCTTAAGGTGCTATATTATCGATTTGAGACCTTTCTTTCTAAAATGGCATTTAAAGCTATAAATTTTCCTCTAAGCACAGCCTTTGTTGCATCCTATAAATTTTCATTTGTTGTGTTTTGTTTTCATTTAATTAAAAATATTTCATAAATGCCCTTGTTATTTCTTTTTTGAGCTATTTCAAATGGTTATTTAGAAATGTTTAATTTTCAAATATTTTTGGATTACCCAAATTATATCTGTTGTTGATTTCTAATTTAATTCCACTGTGGTCAGATAACACACTTTGTGTGATGTCAATGCTTTTAGACTTGTTTTATGGCCCATTATATAGATTATCCTGAAGAATATCCCAGGTATTCTTGAAAAGAGTATGCATTCTGATTTTGTTTCCAGAAGTGTTTTATAGATGTCTCTTAGGTCAATTTGGTTGACAGTATTGTTCACGGCTTCTGTATATTTACAGATAGTCTATCTAGCTGTTTTATAAATCATTGAAAGTAGGGTATTGAAGTCTTAAAATATTACTACTGGAGTATCTCTTTGTCCTTTCATTTCTGTCATTTTTTGATTCATGTATTTTGGGGTTCTGTTGCTAGGTGGAAATAGATTTATAATTTGTATATCCTCCTTTGATCATCAAAAGATGTACCTCTTTGTCTCTACTAGTAATTTTAGTGTTAATGTTTATTTTGTCTGATACTAGCTTTTTCATGGTTACTGTTTGCATGGTGTATCTTTTTCCTTTTTTTTTTCTTCTTTTAGTTTCCACTTATTTGTGTCTATGAATGCAATCTATGTCTCTTGTAGGCAGCATAAAGTTTTATCTTGTTTATTTTTTTTCAAATCTAATAAACCTCTTCCTTATCTTAGATATTTAATCAAGTGAATTTAAGATAATTGCTATAATGGCTGGATTTTTTGTCTGTCATTTTGATATTTGTTTTCTACACATCTGTCTTACTGTTTTTCTGATCCTACTTTATTACCTTCTTATGACTTAAATAAAGATGCAATATACATCTTTAATTATTACAGTCTACTTCAGATTGTTGTTGTTATGTTCTGCTGAGTCAATTCTAAGTCATAGCAACCTCATGTATAACAGAATGAAATGTTTTCTAGTCCTGTGTTATCTTCATGATCGTTGATATGTTTGAGTCCATTGTTTTGACTATTGTGTCGGTCCATCTCATTGACAGTTTCTCTTATTTTCACTGACCCTCTACTTTACCAACCATGATGTTGGTAAGGGCTTCTATATAATAAACTCCCTTTCATTCATTTATATATATATATATATATATATATATATATATATATTTTGACCTGAAAATGTTTCAAGTTTTAAATATCTTCACACAGCATTTAAAAGTCCTAACACGAGAATGATTGAAATTTGGAGAAATTCTGATTGAAATGATTTACCACAGGACATAACTCTTCTGTTGAAGGTTTATTTTAAACACCATCATTTTTCTTAATTATTTCTGATATTTTGTCTATCAAATGTTGACCTTTGAAGCTATTTATTCAAAACTCTTCTTGGAAATCTCACAGTCTGAGAGTGAATCATCAAAAATAAATAAGAAAAATGGTGGTATATGCCCCTGATATAGGAATACATCTTTTCTAGAATGTTGCTGCTTTTAACTGAATTTAATTTAAAGTCGTCTCAAGAATTATGATGCTATTAACCAAACGATTCCCACAAGAGTAAAATCATTCAGGGCTTTAAACTGGATAGTAATAAAAAGGAAAGTGTTCTTCTCATGCATGCTTTCTTTTTAAATTTCTCATATTTCATGACGGGGGTAGGGTATTACCCTACTCACCTTACTACAGCACAATTTACAAACACTTATGAGAATTCCAGGAGTTTTTCAAGATCTTCCCCTGTCATGACACCTGTATTTATTTCTCACCAGAAAGGAAAAGAGAAGAAAAGAAAAATTCCCAAACAAAAGCTGAATTCCTGTTGGTTCCGTTTTTAGGAATTAATACAACATGTCTAGCAAAGCTTGTACTTCAGGAAATGGGCACCACTTACCGCCTTCCTGTTATAACTGGTAAGACATCATTAGATTTGGCTTCAATTATTTTAAATGCTACCTTCTTCAAATCTGAAATGCCAACAGCCATGTCCTCTAGCATTCCAATTTCATCACCTAAACAAGGGAAAAGATGCTTAGTTACAAACATGCTATTTGAAGAAAATGTCAGTAGCTACCATGCCTCCCTGCTGGAATTGGGTCTAACATTTTAGTGAATGAGTTTATAAATGCAGTGAATCCATTCTAAAAGCTTTTCCTCAGAGGCTGAAGGTTTTTATCGGTGAAATAAGAACCATTTCAATGGACTCCAGCAGGCAATATACCCTTTAAGGGGAGGAAGTATGTACACATTTGCTGGGAGGCTAGAAAGACGATTCAACCAGGTTATGACACAAAACACCATGCAGATCTCTGTCCATGAGCAGGACTGATATTTTATTTCTAGAAATAATAGCAATGATTGAATCAAAAATCACTGACATGGGCTCATACTGGTTATATTCATCAATACGTTGACAAAAAAGTCCTGAGAAGAAGGTAACTAAGTAAGATTCTAGACCAGTGCTCTCCAATAGACTATATTGGAGATATATATATATATATATATATATGTATATATATTACATACACATATAGCGCATATGTAATTTTATATTTCCTAGTAGTCATATTTAAAAGAATAAGATAAAAAGGTGAAATTAACTTTAATAGTATACTTCCCCTAACCCAATATACCCAAAATATAAAATATAATTTTAACATGTAAATCAATATGAGAATCATTAATGAAATATTTCCAATCTTTTTCACTAGTCTTTGAAAACTGGTGTATGCATAGTACATCTTCATTTGGACTAGACACTTTCAAGTGCTCAACAGCCACATGTGGCTACTGTATTGAACAGCCTAGTTCTAGACATTAAAAGATTGGGACTTTAAAAACAAAGTCATTGAACCTATGTTGGCAAAGAGACTTCTGTATTTAAAAAAAAAAAAAAAAAAAAAAAGCCAGATAGCTCAGGACTCTACCATGAAAAAATCTATAACTCCATTTTCAAAACAGAATGAAGGTAAAAGTACAGTTATAAGGTGAATGAATGCAAAGAACTAAAAGGTTATATTATTTCTGCAATACTTGATGCAATGAAGGTTTACTTCTTGTTTTGATATTTAACTGGAAAATCTATAGATCAAATATCCCTATGAATATGAATATGATTTTAGCATGCACTACAGCAATACTCACTGTATGTACTTAGCAGTCCTTCATATTGTACTATCAAGCCGACTGTCTGAAGCTGCTCTAAGAAGGCAGGGTCACGCAAACTTGTATGTAATTTGATGATAAAGCCACAGACCAATCCAGCAAGCTAAACAAATATTAAAGAAATTAATAGAGGCCAGAAAACTCATCAGTTTAATTTTAACATATTTTAAGGCTTTTGAGGCATCATAGATTGAATTTTAAAATTTCAAATTTTTATAACAAAACTACAACTGTTTATATATACATATTAAAAGAAGTTGACAGTCTTTGATCTAGCAAGGGCTTGCAGAAAACAGCTTAAGGAAGGTAGCATTGTGAAAGGCAAAAAAGCCTGGGCTTCGGAGTTAGGTTGAAATGTCTTTAAATCCTCTCTGATAATTTCTAACAGTGAGACCATAAAAAGCTAACACTTCCAAATCTTATTTTTTTAATACATGCAGAATAGTGCCAACAGCATTCATTCACAGAGTCATTGAAAGGACACAGTGAAGAAACATGTATAAGGCAGAGCATAATGCTTGAAAAGGTTAGCTCCATTGACCATTGGAGCATCCAAGAAAGAGATGGGGACAAGGATCGTTTGGTTAAAATATTCCCACTGTCTGTAAATGTTTAAAAATAGAGGTCCTCTTTCTCCTTCCATCCATATCTTGTGTCTATAAAACTTAATTATAGGGGTGTGGATGGGTGGGGAGAAGGGGGGGCAACTGCACAGTCACTGTGGTGGAGGTCAGTCTTGGCATCTTGAGTGGGGTTTAAAGTAGGCAAGGCAGATGGTCCTGTCAAACCTCCCATGTAAGCCTTACTGCCCTGCAAACTTATTTTACAAACAAAAGAGGAGGAGATCATTGTCTGAGACCCTGACCTAGGATGCACAGGGGAACTATATAGAGCACTGCAACCAATCCCTTTTGCTAGTCCTGGCTAGCCACTTACAGTGCAAAGCAGCAGTCCCATTTCCTTACACTGTGTGTAGAACCCCTAGGCATAATACTACAGCTGCCTAAGCTACCCTTTCCTCCAAAGACCCCATGCCACATGAAGACGAATGTACGCGGCAGACATGTGGCCACCTCTTTTCAGAAATAAATACTTAGGGTCTTATAAGATGGTTCCATATGATAATAAATTCATATTTATTATGAATAAGAAAAATTGGGCACCAAAACTTTAAGAAGTACTTCCAAACTAAAACTGCCAATAAAGAACTTTATCTTCATCAGGGATAGCATGTTAACAATTTAGCACTGTATCAACAACAACAGGCACCTACTGCTTGACTGAAGACGATGTCTCTTCTTAAGGTCAGCATCAAACACTGAGGCAAGCTGTATGCAAGTTCCTGAAGGAGCACAAACGTCAGTGACTGCTTCGCTCGGTTCACCACTTCTCCCATGCAGTCTTTCAGGGTAAGGATGAGGGGATACAACTGTTCATACCAGTCCTCTGTGGGGGGGGGGGGATGTAAGAACAGTAGGATAGATGAAGGAAGGTCTTGGAGAATAGAACCAATTTATTTATTTTTTTTCAGTGAAGTTATACATATTATGAAGGATTCACAAAGACTAGATTTGAAGATCTCCAATCCAAATCTCTCCTCTAAACTCTAGATGTCTATAACCAGCCAGTCACGCATTGAATCTCTGCACTTGGATGTACTCTACACATTTCAGTAGAACTCTCTGCTTATCTCTGATTTGTGCCACTTTATCTTAGTGGATGGCACCACCAAGTTCTTCCACGCTGGAAACTAGAGTTTTCCTAAACTCCTTCTGAAGTCTTTACATTTACTTGGTCATTAAATTGGTTCTACTACTGTAATATCATCTTCCCCTTGCCCTTTCCCATCATCCTTTATTGCTCTCACTTGGATCACGTCCTAGCCCCCACCTAACTAATCTGTCTCGCCAGCGATCCTGTTGCCTTCAAGTAGATTCCGACTCATAGCGACACTATAGGACAGAGTAGAACTGCCCGATAAGTAGGGTTTCCAAGACTGTAATCTTTATGGAAGCAGATTGCCACATCTTTCTCCTGTGGAGCGGCTGATGGGTTCAAACTGTTGACCTTTTCGTTAGCAGCTGGTGCTTAACCACTGTACAATCAGGGCTTCTGACCTTCAGCCATACCTTTCTAAAATCCCTTTTCAAGAGTGTTGCTAGAGTGAGTTTTCTAATCCCATCACATCACTCATTCCCACACTTCCTTACTTATCATACTTTAAAAAACACTGAAGCATTCAGAAAAAAGTACCAGTTCTTGAAATATCCTCCATTATCTGACTTCTGCCTACTTGTTCAACCCTCATCTCTTAGAACTTCTTCACTTGCAATTTCAAGACCCAGATGAACTGAAAAGCATATATGTCCCCAAACACTTATTGCTGTCTGATTTTAGTGCCTTTACAAACCCCATCTCTTCCTTTACTTATTTGCCTTAAAATTTATCTCCTCTGCAGACTTAATTCAGGTTTTCTCTCTTCCAGGAAGACTTGTATGATTTTCCCAATGTTCCCCTCCCTTGCTCCTGAAGGACACGTTGAGTTCACCTCTTTTTGTGCCCACAGTACCCTGCCCTTACTGTTACAAGGCTACCCTTGCTGTTTTCTCTGCTAGAAGTGGGTTCATCGAGGGCAAAGAGTTTAATTTTTAATCACTTAATCTCCAGAACCTAGCATGGTACCCAACATAGAATAGACACTCAGTAAGTTTCAGTTGAAGGAGCAAAGTTACAATAAATATAATAAGTCCTTTCATATAGAGACAAAAATGAGAAAATCAAGTTTCTGAGAGTATTTGGATTTCAAATAGCGTTCCTTCAAATCAGGATACAAAATTGAAACCATCTGTGCTATTTATACATCTAGATTTTTACATGCTTCAATTACACAATTACGACTTTGCCATACCTTACAGAAACAAGTTATCTTCTATTTCAGTTTATTTGAAAATCAAAACCCTGACAAATGCCAAATATTATAAATTCTGGACTGTGTAGCTTTTCATAAAATATAAAGAAATTAATAGCAGGATGACAAATACATTTAATATGAAGGAGTGCAAGCTGCAACATTACTGATGAGGCACGATCTGAAATCATATGATATTTTCAGCACAAAAATATAAGCACCATAGTGAGTGATATGAGTGGTCAATAACTAGTTAAGACCTTGAAAGAGTTATGCTGTTGTTGTTGTTATGTACTGTCCAGTTGGTTCTGACTCATAGCGTCCCTATAGGAGGGAGAAGAACTGCCCCATAGGGTTTCCAAGGAGCAGCTGGTGGATTTGAACTGCCGACCTTTTGGATAGCAGCCATAGCTCTTAACCACTGCACAACCAGAACTCCTGAGTTATAGGGAACAATAAAAAGTATTGTAATCACCATTGCACCATGCCTACTGTCACTTATCTTATGTTGTAGTGTAATAGACTAGGTAAAATCAACCAAAATAAAGACTAATTAATGACCTCAACTTAACAAAAATACATGTTCTTATTAACCCTCCATATTAATATCTATGTGATGCCATATTATAAAATACATTGGGAACATTAGGAGTATATTATTTTTAAAATATTGGGGAATTAAGAGTTATGATAAGAATAAGAAACACTAGAGAAAGGGAAATTCAATGAAGAGTTGTTAAATCTGTAATGAGTTAATTAATGACCCACATATAGGCATCCTAGGATGAAATATGGACAATAGATCAATTTATGCAAATATTGGTTAACTATTGATCCTTATGTCATTAGTACAATGATAAGCGTACATGGTGGTACAGCAGACATTTTCAGAATAAAAGACACATACCCTATATATACCCAATATTCCTATATATTTTTTATATCTGCATTCTTTTCTCTTGTTTATCTTGCATTCTCTCTCCCACTCTCTCTTTTTAATTGCTGTTCTTAGTATGAATGGATATTGAGAACACACACACTAGGAAGACAAATATTTCAATAAATTGAATTGAAATGTAGATCTTAAAACATAACAGACTGCAAATTGATTTTATTTTGTGTTGAGCCCTATAGAGATCAGTTTCTAGTACCAAAGAATTCCTATACATAAAATAAAGCATGTGTACAGTAGGTGGTGCTGCTTTATCAGGCTGAAGTAGAGCTACTTTGCCAGTAGTCATGCCATTCAAAGAAAATGATTTACTTTTCTATACATTTGCATAGTTCCCAAACAATGTATTTTTATTGCTTAATATCTTGCATCATACTACCCCGTGTCATGTGGTCAATAATTTGGTCATGAATGTTATATACTCTTTCTAGTCAGAAAACTGAAAATCAACTTAGATGTACACTTTTTCCCATTTTAATATCAAGTGATTAAAAACAAACAAAAAAACACTACTGTTGATTCTGACTCATAGCAACCCTATAGGACAAGATAGAACTGCCTCATAGTGTTTCCAAGGAGCACCTGGTGGATTTGAACTGCTGACCTTTACAGTCCACAGCCATAGCTCTTAACCACTATACCACAAAGATTTCCACACCAAGTGACAGGTCAAATGAAATGTAGCTGTTAGTCCTGAGGTCTTTAAAAGAAGAAAACTCACGGATTTCTTCATAAGCAATCAGGGTAATGTTTTTAATTACTCTAAACATCTCCCTCACACTTATTTAACCACTGGTTTCTTAATAATGAAATGCAATCAGATAACCAAAAAGAAGAGTCTGATTTCCAGTCCTACTGGAATAGAAATGGAAACCTGGAAAAAAGGGGAACAGATGTGGGCTAAGTTTCAACTGATACTCTAAAGCTAGAATCATCATTAGATACTTCTCTGACACAAACATTACTTCAGCGTCTTCATTTGCTATAATTACATATACCTTTTATGGTTAAAATTAAAGAAAATGACAATATGGGAAAACATTAATTATACATGAGAAAAATTATAAGTTGAGTGAGGCAGTGTGTCTTAAAGATAATAGTAAACTTCCTATGGAGAAGCATAGGTAAGACAGTGAAAAATACATTTTTTTTTTCCTAGAAAAGAAGCAATTAACTTCAGCAGATAAAGAAAAATTACACCGGCAAATGCAAATTGCGATGCTGAGGTTTACTTCTGCGTCCCTATTCACTCAGCGTATGGCTCAGGCTCTGAAATCAACACAGTGGGGTGTGACAAGCCAAAGAAAGGTTGAAGGCAGTTCATAAATGGCCTTTTTTTCTCCAATGAACATTCTAAACCACTCTCACAAAGGAAAAGCGAATACGTCTCTCTTTAAAAAAATGTTTTTCAGAAAGAGGAAAAGCTCCAGCTCTTGACATCTTGAGACCTTTGTCACTTCACCCTCACCTTTGTGTCTCTCCATACTTCACCGTTTACTTGGTGTTTATTTTGTCCTGATGACAAAGCCATTTTATGGCAAGGATGAAGATGGTGTTCTTTATTTAAGGAAGAAATCCTGAAATGAACATCCTCTCTTCTGAGTTAAGCTTGTTTTTCAAGTTTCATATATATATTTATGATGTACCCAGTGAGGCTGAGGAGCTAAGGGCCCACTGCAATACAGTCACTGCACCAACACCTGTTGTGTGAGTTTTTTTTTTTTTCTCCTTGACATATTTTTTTTTATTGTTGTAATTAAATGAGGTTTACACTTCAAGTTAGTCTCCCATACAGAATTTTTAACATACATTGTTATGAGACCCCAACCGCTCACCCCATTCTGTGACAGCACAATCCTCCCCTCCGCCCCTGATTCTCCATGAACATTCAACCAGCTCCTAACTCTCTCTGCCTTCCCCTCTCACCTCTGGACAGAAGCCGCCCCTTTGGTCTCTTATATCTAATTGTCTAAGAGGCATATTCTTCACAAGTATCACTTTATGTCCCACAGTGCAGTCCAATCCCTGCTTGAAGAGTTGGCCTTGGAAATTGTTTCAGTTCTGGGGTGATGGAGAGACCAGGGGCCATGCTTTCTGGGGCGCCTCCAGTCTTAGACCATTACGTCTGGTCTTCTTTCTAGAATTTGAGTTCTGCACCCATTGTTCTACTGCTCCATCAAGGACCCTCTGTTGTGCTCCTTGTCAGGACGTTCATTGGTGGTAGCCAGGCACCATCTAGTCCTTCTGGTCTCAGGCTGATGAAGTCTCTGGTTTATGTGGCCCATTCTGTCTCTTGGGCCAATACTTTCCTTGTGTCTTTGGGGTTCTTCGTTCTCCTTTACTCCAAGTGGTTGGGACCAATTGATGCATCTTAGATGGCTGCTTGCAAGATTTTAAGACCCCAGACTCCACTCACCAAAGGAGGATGCAGAACATTTTCTTAATAAGGTTTGTTATGCCAATTGACATAGATGTCCCCTGAAACCATGGTCCCCAGACCCCGCATCCCTGCTACTCTGTCTCTCAAAGTATTTGATTGTATTGAGGAAAGTTCTTAGCTTTGGTTTAGTCCAGTTGTGCTCACTT